ATATATGCATTGTTGTAGGTTCATTCCTATTCATTTTTTTAAAAAACAGCCAATGAAAGCTGAGAGTTTAAAGGGCAACTCAGCCCTTTATCTTCCTATGCAGAGATGCATATCTTTGGATATTTCCCCTTAAGACGAAAAAAATCTCAAACCACTATAGACCTCAAAATATTGGTTTTAGTGTATTCTAAAGCAAGAGCACTCAAGCTGAAATGTTTCAGGGGTGATACTGAATGTCACAAAACTATAATGAAGATTAGTCACATAACACACCATCCACTAAAGAAATGGAAGGAAAAGAATGCCATTTGTGACCTTGGGCATCAAGCAAATTGCAGAACATACGAATGTCACTTGCCACAAGAACAGACTAAAATTTCACCACACTGTACAAAACTGATTTATGCATTCTTTTTGTCTTGCCATCAGTGATGTATATCATGTGCAATATAACACATAGGGTACATAGTTTCCTATGTGCACTGTAGAGCACTTGAATCTTTTCATGGTCTTTTAAAAATTATAACTATCTATAAAACATTGAGTATTATAGACTTGAATAAAAATAGTCAATATCTTTGCACCAGTGTTTTCATATTAGCTGTCATTTATAGCCCCAAATTCTAGTTTTGCTTTCCTAAGAGACAAATACGCTTGCTTTCCCAAAATGCTCTAAGCACCACCCTTGATCCATCTGGGACATGCTTATTAGTGGCTATTCCTGGATTTTCCCATTTTTTTCCCACAAAACAGGGTACTCTGCCACCTTAGAGACAATTTTGCCATTACAACACTGGTCTTTCTGATCAGAGGAAAAATACGAAAAAATAAAACATTAAGTAATCATTTCTAAGTTGATTTTTAAAAATAATTCTTAGATAATGGTTTGTATCCATTCCCTTCATATTCTCCATCTAAAAATTTTGAAAGGGAGGGGTGGAAATGGCCATAGCTATATCCTGACCACTTGTCCTGCAAAGTCCATGACTGTAGCAATCAATTCCAAGGATAATGGTATTTCTCTCCTTTGATCATTTCTTTGTCAAGCTGACTGGCATTGGACAGTGAGTGTATTGCTGGTTGTCTACCACCAGCCGCTCGCAATTTGCTCACTATGTTTCATGAGACAGTTGTTTGTGGCTGTTTGGAACACATTTGTCTCTTTGGGGATTTATGCGCTAGTTGCAATGCCAACCTCCGTAGTGATAGAAATTTCTTTCTAACTAAAATAGATAATTAGAGGCTGGTAATTATTGGTCAAGAATTATCAGAGTGAAAAAATTAAGCTTCTCATAAATAGTTCTTGGCAATGTCATCTCTTTATATTATCACACGCCTAACAGCCCTCTATTCAGAGCACTTACAAATTTACTCTACTGCTGTTGAGCCTCATAATTTTATATGAGGCAATCCCTTTGCTGGGTTAAACACATTTAAATTCTCTGGTTTCATCTCTATCTGTGCTAATCCATACCAAATAATAGTAATAACAGAAACTTCAAAGAGGAAAATAACAATAAATATTTACTATGCTGATAGAAAGATCTGGGTGAATAATGAATAAAAGGACATGATGCACAATAGCTTCTTTCTGTATTCTCAGGTCAAAAGCCAATGTAAACTATGTGAAAGGAACAAAGGAAGACAAGAAAAATTTTCTCATCTGCGCAGGCTTTAAAAGAGGGAAATCTTTTCCCCAGGAAAGCTGTTAAAATGTTTTGTAGCTCTTTTTGTGTATGTGTGTAAAGAAGAAAAGAAACCCCTAAATAGTCACTGGTCTGATTTCTTACTGAAACTGTGTCAAAATGTGGTGGCGAGTGAGGTTTTCTTTTTTTCCTTAATAGACGTAAGTCAAATCCCTAATGCATTTTTATTGAGTAATTATTCCTGCAACTCAGACCATGTGTCCACACCTAGCTGCAAAACGGCACTTAAGCAGAGCGTCTCCAGTAGGAACGTGGTAGAAACATTGATGGTTTTCCTCTCACAAATGTCCCTGGCCAATAGCCTGAGACCAGCACATCCAGAAACAAACACGGAGGTTGCCTGACGTTGAAATTGCATTAAAACATTTGTGCTACATAGAATCAAATGCAAATAACTTGGGTAAAGAAGGAATTTCAAGTTACAACTCATTGGGTCATTTGCAGACCTTGTTTTCCATCAGGTGACATAATCCTTCCTCCAGACTGATTGAAATGTAAAACAAAATCTGTAAAACACTATATACCCTCTTAACAAAAAGAGTAAGAGGCTTTTCAGATAGTCTGTAATCCCTCTGCCCTGCTAAATGTCTAGTTGAGATTATTTTTTGATTAGACAGAAAACATACACAGATACACAACCTAAAAATATCTACCCTCGATGGAGGTATTTTAGCCAACAAAATAACGCTGCCTGCCTCATTTGAAAGACTAAGTATCACAGTGGGATTTTAAAAAAGGATATCTTAGCCTTGGTGACATCCTTTGGTTACACATTCTCTCTCTCTAGATATTAACAACACGAATGGAGTTCAAGGATTTGGATGCATGGTCAACAGATATAATGGATGCTATTCATTTGTTTAAGCCTCCAGTGCAAAAGAATTACATATTTTATTATTAAAAATAGCATGAATATTAAATAACTAGGTCCTCTGTGAAAAGGAATAGAATTTGCTTCTCTGATGCAAGGTGAATTGTTAAATGCTCAGATCCCAAGAGGAGGAGTCATATTAATCCACCATAAGGTAGATGGAGGAAAGCACTAATGATTCAAGGAATACAAGGGAAATACAAACGGAAAGAGATAAAGCAATTTAAAAAGAAGGACCAGAACTGGTCCCGGCCAGGTGGCATAATGGTTAAGTTCGCGTGCTCCGCTTTGGCGGCCTGGGGTTCGCAGGTTTGGATCCCAGGCGCGGACTTACTCACCACTTATCAAGCCATGCTGTGGTGGCGACCCACACAAAATAGAGGAAGATGGGCACAGATATTAGCTCAGGGCCAATCTTCCTCAGCAAAAAAGAGGAGGCTTGGCAACAGCTATTAGCTCAGGGCTAATCTTCCTCACCATAAAAAAGAAAGACCAAAATAAACCAATGAATGTTGTGGACAATGATACTAAAATTGGAAAGTCAAAAAGTCCTCTCATGCTCAACATTCAATTCAGATTCTAAATATGCACAAGAACATTAATATTGTAGTGAAAAATATATTCAACCTGTTCATCCAGGTGCAGGGATAATAATAAATCCAGAACCAGAAATAAGTTTACATAGAGAATAAAACTACGCAAAGTTTTAAAATCCACAAAGTTTCACTAAATTTTCCATAAGCTGCAAACTTTCAAGAAATGTTTTCACCGAAGTCCATGTAAAACTGTAGCCACCAATAAACTCTACTCAAGAAATGGAGAATACTAACATTTATCATTTGGCAAGAAGAATTCATTTTTTCTAACCTGTGCCCCTCCCCCCAACAAAAGCAGTTTTGAAAGTTTATATCGAGTATTCTTTTGGAATCCAAAATAGAAGGGAATTGCAAGGAAACACATTGTTTAAATCTCTGTTACATGTTGCCATTATCTTCCAAACACTCAATAAAGTTGTCAATGTTATTCTGTCACATTTAAGAATATGCTATTTAATGTATAAGAAAATCACTACCAATATTAGTACTTAAATCTGTAAAATATAGAGATAAAGTGATCATTATTTTAGCTGTTACGTATATGTTCCATTTTGCACAATTAAGCACTTAGTCTTTTATAAGCAATAATCCTCCCAAAGACCCATCATTTGAAAACTATAAAGCAAATCCTATTGAAAAACTAATAATCAATTTTCCAACGTGCTTTTGAATTTATCTTCATTAACATCTACAAGAGCATTAGAAGTTCTGTTACAGTTGGTTTTAATGATCATATGATAGTTGGAGCAAACCCTTCCACTGAACATTCTTAGAATGCTGCTGATTAATGTATAATAAAACTTCTTTATCCCTGAAAACAAGTTCAGAGTCTAAAATGTTGAGTTTTCTTTCCTGTCTTAGAGTTTGATGATAAGAGAGCATGAGGTTAGATTTTTTTATATTATAATTATTTATGGTGTTGAATAATAATACCATGAAATGAGTATAAAATAAAAAACTCTCATAGTATAAAAACACAAATGAGTAACAAAAATAGTATAAAGTAATAGCAATTGTCATTTTACTAGTAGAAAAAGATCTGCTTGATAAAGTTTAATTGGCTGGTAAAACTCTTAGTGTTATTACTAAGTGCTTGTCAAATTAAAAAACATAGCAGGTAACCCCAGAGGAATTAGGGAATAATGGGACAATACGAATAAGTGAAAAAATTATCCTTTAGCTCTAGCCCATGTGATGCATGCAAAATCCCTTAAAACATTGGCCTAGAGTGACTTTACCCAGACCGCTTTTATAAAGATCTATGTAAAACTTGTGGGGAATAAAAAATGATTACTGAATTCTTCACATGATCTTTATGATCATGATTATTTCTAGGCTGTTGAAACCATACATATAAAACTATTTTATGGCAATTTAAATTATGTTTCCCTCTCACAAAAACTCACCACTTTAGATTTTGATACAAAGATGCTTAAGCAACACACAGCAGTGCCATTACCATAATAACTTCTGAAATTAAAACCTGTCTAAAACTCTATGGAAAGCTAACATCCAGTTCATTAACCATTCCTGTTAGTTTTCAATAATGCAAAAATGATTAGAAGTTTAATTTGTTAATCACCTGTGTTTTGACTGGCAGTAAATATATAATCCTCTGCAGAAGTCTAAACTAGCCCTTGCAGAAAATAAAATGTGCAAATGCCTTATCAGGCCTAATAATAGTAATAAAAAAAAATCAATTATGCCTAGGTAAACCATTAATGGTTGAACAATTAATTCATCTTTAACTCTGCTTAATTATATAGGCGTTGATGTACACAAGTAGGAGGAAAATCCATGTGTAATAAGGTTTAGAGTGTCACTCACCAATCATGTGATTTGCAACATGAACCTGAATATCCCATTCATTGTAGAAAACCATCTGACACTTGATGCACTGATAGGTCTTCTTCTGAGAAAACAAGTATAAACAGAATTACTTAGACACATGCAGTTTTTATTGTTTTCTTTAAAAAACCACAACCCTACTCACAGCATTTTTAAGATGCTGGTCTTACATATGTTGCTAACTAAGCTACTGTGGGCTGCCTGGGCAAAGTTCCATGAGTTCCTTACTAAGATCTCGCAGCTTGAGCCCAACGCTATACATTCAGTTGCAAACAGTTAGAAGAAATGGTGCCGGCCCCATGGCTTAGCAGTTAAGTGCGCGCGCTCCGCTGCTGGCGGCCCGGGGTTCGGATCCCGGGCGCACACCGACGCACCGCTTCTCTGGCCATGCTGAGTCTGCGTCCCACATGCAGCAACTAGAAGGATGTGCAGCTATGACATACAACTATCTACTGGGGCTTTGGGGGGAAAATAAATAAATAAAATTATATAAAAAAAAAGAAATGAAGGCCCATAATTATGGCATAATACATTTGTAAAGGTTTCTGAACTCAAAACACAAATTAGTATTTAAAAAAAATCTGTACACATGGCTTAGTTTCAGAAATTGATGTCTTGGAAGATTAGACACATTTTCATTTTGACCAAAATAACTGGTGTTGCTTCTAGATATCCCTAAGTAAAATGGCCAGTAAGTCAAGACTCATGGAATCTAGCTAACAGATTTAGAGATTATAATTTTTAGCTGAAGTCTGAAATTTAGATGATGTTTCAGAAGTTGCTAAATACTAGCATCTAAATACATATTTTATCTCATAAAGAAATCATATCATAATGAACACCTAACACCATTTTATCATTTTACACAACAGTCCTGTGAAGTGGTACAGCAGGATTTATTATAACTCTTGTATCATGAGTAAAGAAACTGAGGCCCAGGAAGTAAAAAGATTTGCCTGATGTCACAGTACCCTATGGCTTGGAAGAGAACTAAGCTCCCTTGATTCTAAATACTAAGCTCCCTGATAAAAACAGCCTTTAAGATTCCACATCCTTATTACTGTGTCCCCCATATGGCTCAGTATATATTAGATGAACTCAATAACGTTTTGGTTATGTTTTCCAGAATACAGTTACATAAATTCCTTTATGATGAAACTTAATATTTATGATTAAAAACTATCTTGGAAAACAAAACAAACCATTACAAAATAACCCATTTTGAAAATCTCCCAAATGTGAGAAAATGACATTTTTAAAATCACATTAATGACATTTTGCTAAGGCATTCTTATAGAACTGTCATTTTATCCACAGTCATATAAAATTGTTTTACTAATGGTAGCAATAGGAAATATCAGTCTGTAAACTGCAGTTAATTTTAAAGAACTCAACAAAATCAAAGGTAAGCACAAAAAATTTAGTGTCATTACTGATTAAAATCATAAACACTATTAATGTTAAATTTTCTTAATTATTGTCACTTAACATAGTATTTGCCCCTGCAACAGAGGATAGTATTCCTTGTAAAACACAGAAGTATAGGCATATTTCCAATGGAAGCTTTCTAAATAATCTAACGGGCTTTGTACATTAGGCATATTGTGAATTGACTGTGCTGTATCTAAATTTAACATGGACTTGAAAAACCCTGACAATCACCATGGAAGATTTACTACGCCGAGCTGTTTACAAGATGCTTTTGATGGTGACATATAGAGCAACATGTGTTGTGTAAATAACATCTATCCCTTTTTTAACAATATTTCCCTTTAGAACTAGTTAGAAAATATTTCTTACTCCCAGATGACCTACATTATATATTGTTTATTAGCATACTTCCAGCATTATTCCTGATATGTGACCTTGCTGAAAAACAAAGAAACATAAACTTAATGGCTAGCCTTTTCTCTTGTTAGCACAGTAAAACATACAATATGTCGAAAACTGTCTCCAAAAATGATGACTGATGAATATCTTGGCTGAATATACTAGGGCTTTTTTTTCCTGGTCTAATAATAAAGAATAAAATCACTTGACAAGCCAAAATAATAAAATACCAGCACTTACTACTACCTTCAAAATGAACTGACACATTTGAAGATCTATGTATATAAGATTTCTATTATCATTGAAAGAAAATGCTTTTGTCATTACTGATAATTCAAACACTAATTCTATTCTTAAGACAGTGTCTAAATGTTACTTTCTATTCTTATTAACAAAATCATATTCTTATCTATAAGCTCCTAAACTTGGGGCTAGATGAAATAAGAATTTAATGTGATCGAAAAAGTGCCATGATCTTAAAGTGCAACAGCTTGAACGCACCTGGTGAATTCACCTCACCACACACGTCACATTTCCCAAATACAAAGCAAAGATATGCAGATTGGGACATGTTACAGTTTTCTTTTTAAAGCCATGGTGTAAAATTCATTTTTATCCTCAATTTTTCAAAAAAGTAACTTTAAATGACCTTTAAAGCATCCCTTATTATAATTACAGACTCTTAGCAAAATATTTGAGAGACCCCTGCCTACTCGTACACCATCTTTAAGTAAAGTGATTGTAACCTCTGAACCATGTTGGCCTCGGGGAGCTCACTCCCTTGGAGATAAATCCATTCCTGTCTGTCCAGCTGAGTTTACGAAGGAATTCTTTCTAATTCAAGGCCCAAATCTGCTTTTCTGCTACTTTCACCCGTTGGTCCTAACTCTGCTCTGGAGCTATAAAGAGCAAGTTGAATTCCTTGTCTAATATGACAATTACATTAACCCCTTTTCAGACTGAAAATAGAGGGATGGTGTAAGAAACGCTTTGGACAACTTTCACCACCCTGGTTACTTTCTTCCAGGTCAACCTTTTCACAAATAGAACCCCAAATTAAGCACAATTCTCCAGGGGTGTCCTGACCCTTGCAGAGTACAGGAGCACTATCACCTCCCTTAGGACAATTACTTCCATTTATATAGAAGACAACAAAAAAAGTCAAATGAGATCATTTCTTTTAAAAGCAGATAAAAGTAGAAACAGAACTTCCATTGTTTGGGCCCCAGATTGGCCTTTATCAACGCTTAAGTTGTCAATTTACTTGAAATGCTAATTTAGTACAATTTTTAAAAGAGACTTTTTTTCATTAGCCTTTTTTAATGTGCTACTTGGGAGTGGGGTTGTCATTTCCTGATTGTTCTCTTTTGTTTTCTGATACTGATAGATGTAATTATCAAGGATACAACTTTTTCCCAGCACCTCATTATTTTTGATTGATTTTGAGAACAATTTAAATGTGCCTTTTTGACATTCTTGTTTTCAGTTACACACTGGTTAAGGTACTCAGAGACTTTTAGAAAAGAGCATCTCATAAATTAAAAAAAAACTGATTAGAATCTTTAAGAATGTATAGTTAAAAAAAAAACCACATTATTCTGATGAACCCCACCCCCTCCTCTCAATCTATATTCCTTTAGGACTTAGGCTTCACATTTAGCCTCACCAAATTAAAAAAATAAAATTATACTTTGTAGTTATAAATTGCTTTGATTTTTTTTAAACAAAACACTGAGTATAAAAAAAAAATCAATGAGTCCACAGTAATCCTCAAAAACAGAAAAGGAAAAAAATCTCAGTTGCCATCATTGGACGTGACTATTACATGTATCTCTTGTTCTGAAAATTGGTAATTAAAGGCACAGAAGCATCAAGCTGTTTTAGGAGGAAGTGTAGTTCATGGCTATTTGATGAGGGAAAGCTCTTCTTCAGCGAAGACTGACAGTAGAAGGAATGACAGAATCAGAAATTCAACAATTTGCAATGCCAAAGAAAATGGTCCAAAATAATCATTAATGGATGCTAAAACTGTTAAGAGAATGTTATTCTGAGATACTCAATAACTACAAAGAGAAAGATGTGTCTTCACAGTGTATTTATCTGGTGGTAATCACTGTAACCAGACTATTTAGCTTCATATTACTACTAATAATGGACCAACCTGACATTATGTGTCTCTCGGTGTGATGCAATATGAGATATGACACATCATGATAAAGTATTCTTACTTAAAATGTATACCTGAATCTAATCAAGCCTTTATATGGAACAGTCCAGTTTTCAGGACATGCAGGGATAGAGGAATAGGTATTACTTTGAGAAAAAAAAAAAAAAGGTGCACAAATCCAGAATATTCTTTAACACAAATCAAGAATATTCTTGGCCTGTTATCCTCAAAAAGTCAATGTCACAGGGGAAAAAAAAGTGGAGAGATTGCTCTCAGAAGAAAGAGACTAAAATGACAACTAATAAACGTAGTGCTTGTGTGTAAATGTAATGTGTGAATTCTGATTTAGGGAGAAAAAAGCTATAAAAAGGTTTTTGAGGAAACTGGAGAAATCTGAATATCAGCAGGTTATTAGATGATATTGGGAAATTACTACTGTTAACTCTCTTACGTGTGGTAATGGTACTGTGGTTATGTAGGTAAACATCCTTTTTGTTAGGCGATGTATACTGAATATTTAGGATGAAATGGCATGATGTTTGCAATTTCAAAAGATTTGAAAAAATATATACATTTAGTCATATACAGATTAAGCAAATATGCCTAAATGTTAGCAATTATGAAATCTAGATGCATGCTTGAACATTTTCATAATAAAAAGTGGGAATAAATGGATAGGTAATTCATAATATGTAGTTTTTTTAACATTAAACCTATCTTGATTAACCCCATCCCCTTTGTTTATTTTATACCCCTACACTTGGTGTACACCAAAAATAATTTGTGCTTAGTTGTTTTAAGCAGGTTTGCAAACATTTTTGTATTTTTTGTGAGGGTTTTTTCTGTTTGTTTGTTTTTTTAGAAATCTAATGTATAAACTCTAAGAGCCAGGAGATATAGCTTACATTCATTTCTATAATAAAGTAATAATTCCTTACCATTGTATCATGCTTTACAGTCTATAAAAAACTCATGCATAAAACTTACTTGCAACAAAACTATGAGAATTACTAAAGGAGGAATTATTATCCTCATTTACAGATTACGTGACTTGTCACAAGTCATAC